GGTCACATCTGCTGTTTCAGATGAGAAACTGAGGCAGGGGAGGGGCGCCGGGCTGCATGGAGCTCTTCTGGGCTCGGAGCTCTCTGGGGGTCCGTGCTGGGCCGGCCTGGTCCCCAGGGCAGGAGGGCAGGGCTGGTGTCCCCAGCTCCCAAGGCCCCCGTCCTCTCGGCCCATGTGTCTGCCTGCACTTCCTGTGTGCCTGGCCCTGGGCAGTGGGGCACTCGGGGGGCTCCTTCCTGGGCTCAAGCCCCTCTGCCCACCCCAGCCTCACCCCCCAACTAGCCCCCTCCAGCACTCGCCACCTTGTGCCCCAGCTGCTGCCAAAGCTGCCAGGGTCTCAGTCACCCCGCCCCTGCCAGACCACACCTGCTCCTCTTCCTCCCCCACCCAACACCCTTTTTTTGGTCCCAGAGGATCAAACCCATCACCTGTGCCTGCTAGGCAGGTGCTCTGCCTCTGAGCTACGCCTGCAGCCCTTTGGGAGATGCTTTTATTTTGAGACCAAGTCTGGCCAATTCCCCAGACTGGCCTTGAACCTGCACTCCTCCTGCCTCAGCCTCCTGGGTACCTGAGATTACAGGGGTGCGCTTGTTGGCAGCATATCTTTGGATATGAAGGTGCTGGGTTGGTAGAAAATTAAGCATGGAAGGGCAGACAGAGTGCCGGCTGTTTCCCCACTGACCTCTCATGATGGCCATGGCAATGACAGCCCTCACCTGGACCTGCTTCTCAGCCCTGCCCTGGGCCACATCGGGGTGACCTGGCTCCTGCAGGCTCCCCTGCCTTGGTGTCTTATAGGGATCAGCATCAGAAAGTGGTGGTGCACGCCTGTAATCCCAGCACTTGGGAGGCTGAGGCAAGAGGATCGTTTCGAGTTCAAGGCCAGCCTGGGCTACATAAGTGAGCTCAAGGCCAGCCTGAACTGCATAGCAAGACCCTGTCTCAAAAAAGCAAAACAAAACAAAAACACAAAACAAAGAAAAGAAAGGTTGGGGAGGGATAAGCATCTGCTCCTCAGCTCCCCGCTTGCGGGCCACACCCCTGCCAGGACCTCTGTGTGGCAGGTGTAATCCCAGCTACCCAAAAGGCTAAGGCGGGAGGACTGCAAGTTCGAGCCCAGCCTGAGCAACTTAAGAGACCCTATCTCTCAGCTGTCTCTAAAAAACCAGCTTTGTTCAGTCTCCCACACAGGCAACCAGCCCTGAGACCAGGATGCACACAGGCTTGCTGAGCCTTTACAGTTCAGGAGCTCCGCGGAAGGGAAGCTCACTAAGGTGTAAACGTTCTCATTGAGCTCCAACCTGTACCAGCACATCCACCCCATTTTGTGTCAGGGTAATTTCTTCCCTCCTAAGTCCCTAACAGATTCAAGCACAAAGCTGGGTGTCTCTGGCATCTCTCCCACCCCCCACTGTCCTATCTGTAAATTTTGGCACTGGGTCCCACTAAGGCACTAAGTTGCCCAGGCTGGGCTCAAATTTGCAACCTTCCTGCCTCAGCCTCCCAAGTACTGGGGTTCCAGGCGTCCACCACTGCACCCGGCTGTGTCCTGGTTTTGATTCTCTGCTGAGATTCTTCTCCTCAGGCTCCAGTATTTGTTCACTCTCAGGCTCTCATCAGCCATTCACACCCCAGTAGGAATTAGGTGGCAGTGGTCGGCGGACTTAGGCCCAACTCCCGGCTCAAGGGTGCCCAAGAGCTGGGACAGAAGCTCCTTGGAAGCCCAAGGCATCACAGAGGGCACCACCAGCCGCAAGGGTCCTGCACCTCAGTCACAAGCTTTATTGTCCCGAGCACGGACTGGCCACACTTCCACAATTCCACTGGGGGGGAGGGGCAGGGAGGGGCGCGGCCGGCCACGCAGACCGCTGCTGCTGCTGCTGCTGGGGAAACGGCTTCCTGGGCCGCGGGCGCCCGCGACGCGGTCCTGGGCTGCGAGCTGTCCTCCGCCCCAGGAGGGGCAGCGCTGAGTAGGTTAGGCCTCTAAAGCGACGTTTCTAGCTGCTGTTAATGGACCCGCACGGCAAGCGGGAGCTGTTGCTAGCGGCGGGCGCGGGAGGGGCAGGGCGCAGACGGGGCTGCACCCCCGTCCCTGGCGGCACTCACAGCGCGGCGTGGCTGCCGCTGCG